CTCTTCTTTCCCCCTAATTCACAGAAACTTTTTTTTGGAAACAAATGAGCTGCAGCAAAGGGAAACTCAGTGCATGTGGTCAAATGGACAAAGTTGGGGGTGGGGTGAAGGTGGGTGGTAGGGCCTGGCCCCAAACCAGAGCCAGTGACCGCTGGGCCTGCTTGTGGGGCCTCAGGCCACAGACTGTTTGGAGCGGAGTGTGTAGGCCTAGCACAAAATACAAAAATAAACTCTGGGTCCAGTTGTCCCTGCCTGTGGCAGTTCCTTTGGGCAGGCGATCATTCTTCTTACCAGGTCCTGTGCTGTCCATCTGGCCCAGCCAAGACACAGCAGTGGCAGCCTGTGGGGGTCAGGTTCTATTGTCATGCAAAAGAATACAGGCTACAAATGGATAAATCTCAAATAATGTGTTGTGCAAAGGCAGGAGAAGACTATGTATGTACATAGTATGATTAGGTTCATACAATATTCATGCACAGGCAAAATTAGCTAAGGTATTTTAAGGGTACATACACAGGTGCAAAACTTAAACTAAGGGAATTGTAAAATATAATTCAGAGGTTATCTCTGGATCTGAGAAGAGAGTAGAAGCAAGGTGGAAGAGAGTTATTAATGTTCTGTTGTTTAACCTGGGTGATGAATACATGGTTCTTTGTATAATTTGTATATATTATTTGTTATACTTTTAATGTGATTAGCAAGAAATATATTAAAATGTAAATGTATGAGCACCTTCAAAAACCTTTCCTCACTCAGCTATCTAATTACTATCTCTTAGGGTTTTTTATCACATCTATTTGTTTTTCATAGAAGGTATAATTTAGAATTATGTATCTGTATGCTTAATATATGTTTTTCTACTAAGTAAGCCCCATATTCTATAAGAACTGAAACCATGGCTGTTTTACCACTGTGCAGTTCAAAAGCAATTCCTTCTACACGATGTCATATATGGTTGAGTTTTAAGGCTTGGAGAATTCTTCCATCTGTGAAGGTGAGTGTCTATAGGAAACTTTATTAAAAGCAACCATGTAACCAATCAATTAAGCAAGATCCCATATAAGCAGCATAGCACAGTGCCTGCAGCGTGGTGAGCACTTGATAAATCTCAGTAGCTGCTGGCAGTAGTAGGCGTTGAAGTCAGAGTTTCACAGTTTGGAATTTAGTTCCACCATCCAAAGTGGTTGTCTGAGTTAGTTAATTTCATTCACATTTGTTTAACCAGGCACAATTATTGTCAGAGTCACTTTTTTTCCCTAGCTATGTATGTAAGTATAGACTCTTTTTGCCAATTCACAAATAGTGGTTGGGGGATCAACAACTAACAACTAGCCATTCCAACAGGGCTGAGTGTAACTTTAGTTTTCTTAGTGAATAAGCAGATTTGACATAGAGGTCCAAAGGTAAAAGCACTCATTTCCAAACTCTTGTCTTCAAAAAATATCTTGGGGTGATTTATTCACTACTTTTGGAGATAGTAAGTAATATCTATGCTCTTAGGAGAAGTTCCTATTTGAAAAATAAGAGATTACGATAACATTAAACAAAGGAACATTCTTTTTTTTTTAATTAAATCATAGCTGTGTACTTTGGTACAGTCATGGGGTACAGTGTGGTATTTTTATATACAATTTGAAATATTTTCATCTAACTGGTTAACATAGCCTTCATGTCATTTTCTTAGTTATTGTGTTAAGACATTTATATTCTACATTTAGAAAGATTCACATGTACCCTTATAAGATGAACCATAGGCGTGATCCCACCAATCATCCATAATCATCAGAGAAATGCAAATCAAAACTACTTTGAGATATCATCTAACACCAGTAAGATTAGCCTATATCACAAAGGAACATTCTTAAAAGTGTAGATTAGGTCTCAAGAATGATTGAGGAAATCAATTTCATGAGTTTCAAGCAACATTTCTGACAGCGAGATAAAGTAGAATACTGAATATCAGAACACAGGCAAATAATTTATAAAACTTTTATTTTTGACAATGAACCTTTTTTTAAAAAATCAAATATAAGATGTCACCTATTCATTAGGAAAAGCATGCTATTCTCAGAGATGGTAATGTGACAGAATGGTCAATGGTGATTGTAAAAAGCTATTAATTGAAAATTAAAGGTGTATCCTCTTTCAAAATTGTTCAAAATATGACAAAAATATCTTATAATCAATAAAATTTGGCATATACACATATGAATATGGGTCTCTGCTATACCAATAGTCTCTAGTCTAGACTGATATTAGAGATCGAGGTAATTTGGATTGTGGCAAAAAACATTTGAAAGCCACTGTGCTAGGAAATGTATTTTCCTTTCCTTGGCAAATTCAAATGAAAGTAATATATTCAAAACTGACACACGAATTCCACATACGTTATGAAGATGTCAGTCAAACTGTAAATTGAACCAACATAAAATGTTTCAACGATCATGAAATGTGACAGCCACTTGAGACTGTGTACAGAATTTTGGACCAATAGAGTTAGTCTTTGATTCCCCATACACCAAGAGACTACATAGTTGTGTGGACTCCTCAGGGGCATTGACTGAAATATTATATCAGATTTTTCTGTAACGTATACATGATTTATTACTCGTTACCCGTAGTCAATTTTGAAATACTTTCAATAATTAAATATGAGTAACACTAAAAAGCACAGCAGCTTTCAGTATAGTAGCCTAAATTCTAGAAAACACTTAATTTTTTGTTTCTATAGAGTCAAGTACAGAAGTGAGCAGATTGACAAATTTATAAACATCATGAAAAGAATTGTAGAGAGGAACGGGAGCCACTCGAATGCCATCCGGCTCTCTCTTGTCACACTGTAGGAACAAAAATAAATGAAGTCAAATAATGTACACAGCCTTCACACATGGGAAGTCCACACCCAAGGTTAACCTACAGAAAGCATTTGTTCTGATTTCCCTAAAAATTAACAGATAAGC